GGGAAGGGGTCTTACTGAGGAGATTTACTCAGAAAGGAATCTTAAAGCAAGGGATGCATACAAAAGAGGGCCATTTTGTTTTGTTTTTCACCTGCTACCTAGGACTCCCCAGAATTCTCTGAGGAAGGACTTGAACAGAGTTTGATGTTCCCATAGTGGAAGAGTGACCAGGTTGCATCCAGTAGAAGGAATGCCCTCTGCCATCTCCCCTTCCACCCAAGACCTAGCACAGCCTAGGCTAGGGAAAGGACCTCTTATAAACGGGAGTGTCACAGTCAAATTATCCAAGATGGTTGGTTCCTTTGAGATAGTTCTCTCCCACATTTCATCTTACACCTGCTTTGTGGCACTGTATACACAAGTATGGCCCAAATTTCTCTAGGTGCTATCTTCCTAATAGTTCCTGAACTTATACCTTTCTGGTCCACTGTCTCTCCTATAGCCTGACATAATACCTCCTAGAGCATAACTCACAATTCGGTTCCTATCACCTGCATTTCTTATTTCATTTCCCACGTGCAAATTCATCCTACACATTGTCCTCAGCCTCCTTGTCTTCAGTCTGGCCCCAATTTTAATCTACTTTATTACACAACAATGCGATCTTTAAAAAATCTGCAGCTGCTGGTTATCGAAGGTGGAATGACTCACTGGGATCTCGCTAAAATGATTCTTTCTTTTTTTTTTAAATACATCTTTATTGGAGTATAATTGCTTTACAATGTTGTGTTAGTTTCTGCTGTACAACAAAGTGAATCAGCTATGCATACATATATCCCCATATCCCCTGATTGTTTATTTCTAAGTGTTCCCTTACTAAGAGAGTGCGAAGGAAACCATCACTGAACAAGAGATTTCAACAAATATTTAGAAGATAAAAAACACAGGAAAACACACCAAAGGAACCAGGGGTTGCCAGAGGAGGAAGAAGCAGCTGCAGCAGAAGGAGCTGACCTGTGGGGCAGAACCTCGGAGAGGCTCTGAGTTGGCGGGTGTGGGAGCAGAGAGAGAAATACTACATGCTCCCTCCTGTGACCTCTGCCCAAATCTAGAGCTCAGGCAACCTAACTTTAACCCCTGAGGTTGGGGGATCCTGGAAGACGTTCTCTAAGTTAAAATCTGGGCAGTGCTGCAGTTGTACATGTGATGAAGTATCTGACGCTGGCACCCCAGAAAGAACCATCCTTATTCCAGTACTCGAGGGGGTCTGCGCTCCAACCTAGCTCCAGCCAACTCAGTCTTGAGACTGCAAATGGACGATGGCCAGATGTATATAAAAATAGAATTCTAATCCATCATCCGCAGTAATCAGCCCAGAAAGCCAGCCGACTATCTATAAGTCAGAGCGATAGGAAGTTACACAACTATCCTTACAAACAGCCCAGGAAGCCAAACAGTAATCCCTCTAACAATCAGCTCCACGTAGCCAGGACTTGATGAATAGCTAACAGCTTCTTTGATTTTTTTCTCTCCTTTCAACTGAGGGGCAATCAGAGAAAGCCAAATATGCACCTGTAACCAATCACCGGAGGACCTGCTTTATTAGCCGACCTCCAGCTTCCCCATGCCAACAGCCTCTAATCAGGGCACCCCTGAAACCTTCTCTCTTTTCCCCTCTAAAACTTCCTCCTTTGAGTCTCTGCCAAAATGCAAGTAACGGTGGCTGACTCCTTTGCTATAGCAAGCTCTGAATAAAGAGGCTTTGCTCGTTCTCACTTGGTGGGTTTTCATCATTTCCACACTCGGAAGCAAAGTCTTCCAGTCAACGAACCCTCCCCACGTACCCAGAACTCCCCATCAGCTTTGTTAGTCGGGGGAAAGGAGACCCACATATACAACCATGGAGGACACCTACACCGCTTGGAAAGAAAAATCAACCCAGTGACTCATTCTTAAATATGGACACACAGCCAAGGTCACCACACACAGGGAAAACCAGCAGCACATAGGAGATCAAGATAAACAGATTGACCTTGGAGAAAACAGGACATTCAGAGACTAGAAACAAGCTTTAAAAAAAATTCTAATTAGGGCTTCCCTGGTGGTGCAGTGGTTAAGAATCCACCTGCCAATGCAGGGGACACGGGTTCGGTCCCTGGTCCAGGAAGATCCCACATGCCGCGGAGCAACTAAGCCTGTGCACCACGACTACTGAGCCTGCGCTCTAGAGCCCGCGAGCCACAACTACTGAGCCCGCATGCCACAACTACTGAAGCCCCTGCCCCTAAAGCTCACGCACAGCAACAAAGACCCAACATGGCCAAAAATAAATAAATAAAATAAATTAATTAAAAAAATTCTAGCCAGATCTTCAGTGAGATATGAGAAGATATTACGGCCATAAAACCAAAAAACAGCAGGCTGTGAAGAACAAGGGAGTTTAAAAAAAGTTTCCTGGAAATTAAAAATGGATTTCCCAAATTACAAAGATTGGAAGATTAAGTTGAAAAACTAACAGAACAGAGAGCAAAAAAATAGTCTGAATGTGTGGCAGAAAGATAAGACAACTTTCTCATAGCTAGATCCGGCAGTGGCTAGACATGGGAGCCTCTGGGCAGGGGCCCTGGGGCCTAGGGGCCAGCTGCGGCTCTGTGGCTCAGTGTGTGTTAGAGATCATTTGACCTATGTGTTTTAACCAAGTGCAAGGATACTCTGATTAAAGCAAACAATCTAGCTGCAAATCTGACGGTTCCACTCAACTGCTTGAAACCCAACACTCCTCACAACCACATATGGGGAGAGAGATCAGTCTCCTTCCTGACCATGACCTGTCAGGAACCAGCCTCCCTTCTTCCATTCCCCACGTCTGCCCCAGCCCCACTCAACGACCTGCCAGGATGTTCAGTGTAAGCCTTACGAGCTGGGACTCTGGGGTCACACTTACCTGGTTTCAAACCCACATGCTTCTGTCCTAATTTGAAAAATGGGGGTGCAAGAGTACCTCTCAGGGCTTTTGTGAGGATCAAATGAACTAACGCATGTAAGGAGCTTAGCAGAGCCTCGGGCACAGAGTAATCAATAAATAGTAACAGGGCTTCCCTGGTGGCGCAGTGGTTGAGAGTAGTCCACCTGCCGATGCAGGGGACATGGGTTCGTGCCCCGGTCCGGGAAGATCCCACATGCCGCGGGAGAGGATGGGCCCGTGAGCCATGGCCACTGAGCCTGCGCGTCCGGAGCCTGTGCTCCGCAACGGGGAGGCCACAACAGTGAGGCGTATCGCAAATAAATAAATAAATAAATAAATAAATAAATAAATAAATAAATAAATAGTAAGAGTTATTAGGGCTCCCAGAACTAGTCTTCCTTTGTGTGTCTCAACTTTAACCCTACTTTGACTAATTTTTATATTTATACCTAAAAACACTAAAAAACAAAACCTCATTAAACTCTCAGCTTTATTACCAAAGATACACTCTCAGACACTTCATTCAGTCCTCAACTCTCAAGAGATGTTACCGATACATATTTTTGAAGCCACAATTGATTGATTGATTGATTGATTGAAGAAAAATGAAAGATCCTGCTTCGTACAGTTCATGCCTTGCGGACCCGGCTGGGTTTTGTCTCGCATTTCCTCCCTGTTCTCAGTGAAGTGACCCTTCTTCACCCAGGCTCAAGCCTCACCTTTCTTATGAGGCCTTCCTACCCCACCCTGGCCCAGGCGTTCCTGCAGACTGAAGTGCTTTGTCACCACTCCTGCTGTCTGCTTCCCTCTCCAGACTGAGCACCTCACTTACTGGACTCTCTTCATAAGTTTTAGATCTCGTGTGTCCTGCGTGTAACAGGCTTGGGCTTTACGCAGTGAATGAGCACGTTCAAGGTAAGTGTGGGAGGGACGGGGGTGACCTTGGTTGCCTTTTCTAACTCAACTGCAGACATATTAGAAGCCTCTCTTTGACAAGGAAAAGGTTGTGGGAAGGCACCATCTATGCTGGGAAGCTGCTGGGCTTCTGGCTCCAGAAGGTTCTGAGTGGGTGCATCGGCTGTCGGTCCACTTACAGGCGGGATGTGAAGGCTGTCTTGATGTCCCTTCTCAGGTTCAGTTCTGCCTCTTCTCCCTCGGTCTTTAGGACACGGCACTGCCCGAGAAGCACAGTCTGTATCCCAAAAAACAATGGCACTGTCTTTTTCCTTTTCTTTTCGTAAGTTAAAATCATCTGGTCCAAACTTTCTCATTCCTCCAGCAGAGGGAAACCACGACAGTCTTAAATGAAAGTCAAAGGACTTGCCAAAAGTCATACAGAAAGTGGTATAAAGACATTAGAACTTAAGTTTCCAGCATTTCAGACCAGCATGTTGTGGTTCCGGAGTTAAAAAGAAGAGGGGAAGCCGAAAGAACCTGAGACAGCTGCTTCAATCTTGGTGCCCAAAACAAAGCCGATGGTCTGGGTGGCACCACGGCTGTCCCGGCTTTGGGTCTTTTTTATGATGTGTTGCTTATTGAAGAAAAGGGAGTGTTGAAAGCTCTCCCACCAGAGAGCTGTTGTGAGGATGTAACGAGAGGGCCTGGCATGTGTTAAGACGTTTATCATCATTAGGAAAGTAACAACCAACTAGGAGATTTCAGTGCAGAGGGCAAACCCGCTCTGCTTCTTGCAGCCCAACCCCTGGCCACAGAGCTAGGACAGAGTGGGTCAGGCAGAAGGAAAGGTCGACTGCTGTGTTGTTGGAGATACCATCGTGGGAGGGGAGGCCAGGGCAGTCACCATCAGCTCTACTGGGTACGGGGTGGGCGTGCACTGGATGAGAAGGGCCTTCAGTCCCACCTCAGAGTCCCCCATCCTTAAGACAGGAGGGGATGGTCACCTGTGGCTTCCCAGCCCCCAGCTGCCTTCCAGGCCAGGAAGGTGCAGCAGAGCAGAACCGAACCTGGGAGGCTCAGGCACAAACCCCCAGCCTGTGCTGCTCATTTCAGGAAGGTCCTAAGGAAGGAGGCTGCCGTGGCCGGGCCTGGCCCACAGCTGGGGGAGCGCAGGAGTGTGCGCAAGGAGGAGCGGCTCTCAGGAAAGAAGCAGCAGGAACAGAGATAAAGCCAGGAGCGTGTCAGAGAGCCCCCAGGACGAGGCAGGGCTGGCGAAGAGGCGGGCCACAGCCACATTGGGGTTGCCCCCGGCAGGCTTGAACCACTTCTGCAGACACCGCCCGCTGGTCCTATGCTCCGGGCTTGCCTTGAAGGAGTTGCTCCAGATCTTCTCACATAGGTCAGCCGGGGTGGGGAAGTAATCCAGGAAAGGGCGGCAGAGGGCCCTGGCAGGGCAGCGGGGCTTCCCTGAGGGGAGATCCAGGCACGGACAACTTACCCACTCCTGTCCTCACATCCCCATCATTTGCCCCGGGGGAGCAGAGGGCTTGCGCCTGCCCTCCCGGGCCCTGCTTAGCATCACTCACCCCGACTCCAGGTCCAGCCGCCGTGCCAGTTGGATTTGCAGGTGTAGGATGTGCGGCAGTCAGCCCACCACTGTTCACAGTCCTCCCGGCACAGGGGCGCGTCCAGAATCCGCTCTGCCTGCCCACGCGGGTCCAGCTGAGTGCGGGCATAGCAAGAGACAAGAATTATACGAGCACCCATTTGAGGACTATCAGTAGCTGCAATGGAACTTGGGTCAGGTACCATCGGAACATATTCTCTTATGACGTCACTAAGTATCATTTTACAAATGAGAATACTGAGGCTGGGTTAAATAGTTTGTACACAGCCCCGTTCCTACAAACAGAAGATGTGACTCAAACTGTCCCTCCATCCTGCTGCTCTCCTGTGACCACTCCGCATGCATGCCATTCTCTAGGGCCAGAGGTGACTTCCTCTCCATCTGTGTCCCCCACAGCGGCTTCTGACTCTGCTCTTGTCCGTAGGGGGGACAGCATCTCCTGTTCCTGCTAACATCCTGCAGCTCAGGCTTTTACGAACAGGGCATTGATGTACATGTCTCCTGCCCACCCACCCCCGCCCACTTCTTCCCACCCGCTGGATCCAAGGCCCCAGGTTGGGGGAGCACTCGTAGAAGCAGATGGCCTGCAGGAAGTGCTTCTGACAGTCCGGCATCATCAATCCGCAGTGAACCAAGCTGAAGTTGTAGAGCAGGGACACATCCAGGTGGGCTTCCCAGCTCGTGTTGGCCGTGCAGCAGGCACTGTCCTTCCAGGGGATGCACTGAAGGTGGATGAAGAGGCAAAAGGCATGGAGAGTAGGGGCAGAGGGTTGATGAGTGTCTGGGCCAGAAAGGTAAAAATGTCCCCTAGAAGAGGACCCGGCAAGTGGGATGCCTTTAGGCCAGCGACCGCTGGATAGAATGAATGCCGATAAATTGTCAATATTCACACCCAAAGGGCACCTGCACACTGGCCTCCGCGCAGCAGACTGTGAGTCCCCTAGGAATGGGGCTTTCAAGGTCTCAGATCCTGGGGGGGCGGTAGCAGGGTTGTCCCCAAGACCCAGGGGAATGTGGGGTTGCACTGGGGCAGGGCACCTGCAGCTGAGAAGGGCTCATAGGTACATGCCAGCCATGCCCCTCCTCCCTCATTCCTGTCAATTGCCTTTAGGGACTTGGGGAGCGGTCCCTTAAGTCTTATTTTTTTCCAGGGCCTGCTGGTGGGAGGGCAGAGGAGGGGAACTTGCTTGTTGGAATCTAGGCTGAATATCTATGAGTCTCCAGGATCATCACCTGCCCCTGCTCCCTGAGTGGCCGTGCAGCTCAGGGATGAAAATAGTAAATCATTTGGCAATTAGCCCCCCCACTCCAGTGGCCTTTGCCAAAACCCAACCTAGGGAACCAAACGAGTCAAATGGATAGGGATTCAGAAGCCGTCTTAGCCTTTGTGTCCCTTCCCTGATCTAAGAAGCCTCCACCCACCCTGCACCCTGTGCCAGTTCCGGCTTCCATACCTCCTCGTAGAGCTTGGCCTCCGGGCTGGGCGCTGGCTTGTGGGGCTTGGCGTTCATGCAGATGTTGAGCAGCTCGCGCCCAGCCCACGTGGGTGGGACTGCCCACAGCCCCAGCAGGAGCTGCCACCAACACCCCATGGCCTGCCGCAGAGGGGAGCTCCGCCTGTAACGGAGAGGACACCTCGCTCCAGGACCTCCGTCATCCCTGGGAGCAGGCATGGGCTTCAAGCCTCCCTCAAGCGACCATGATACTTTGGCTGCTTCCAGAACCTTTATCTGAGGCAGCGTCATAAACTATCCAGTGAGGTCTGACACTCACCCCTAACCACCTACAGATGCAGAAACTGAGGCCAGGGAGGGGAAGAGATCAGCCCCAAGGTGGAGGAGGGTCCCGGGTAGGACGGTTCCAGCTTGCCCTGGGGGAACTTTCCCTGGCCCTTCTCCACTCAGAGGCAGACTTTCTAACTCAGTGACATATGGGCTGCGAATTCAGAGCTTTGGTCTTGAGTAACTGAACAAAGGCTCCGTAACCAGATTCTACATGGGGCCAAAGGCGCAGTGGGACTGGATAGTGTGACAAATGCAATCCTTACCCCATAGAGTGCCAACCCTAACGCTAACTCCGGCCCCTCTGAAAGGTCCACACAAGGCCCACAGCTCCTCAAGCATCTGGCCTCCTCCCCAGTTCCCTGTGGCCAGAGTTCTTTCCCCTAGAGCAGTGGTCCGCCTCCACCAGCCTCAACCCATCTCAAACCCAGCCTGAGCACAAGGCTGAGGCAGCCGGGCGCCCAGTGGCCTTGCTGGCATCTCACAGCCAGGGAGCGTGCCCAGGCGTGAGCCACCTTGAGCCTTCCACATCCAAAGCTGGTCCCCGTTACCGGAATGAGAAGGCTGGCTTTTCCCTTGATGTCTGTCGTGCCCTGTTTCCCACTCTGCCCTGGGTAGTTCTTGTAATGGGAGAGAGTAGAAAGAGAAAAAAAAACAAGTACCGCATGATCCCCCACAGCCGTCACCCACCCAGGAGCCCAGGCCCGACGCCACTCAGGAACCGGCTGTGGACCCATCGGGATGAACCTGAAAACCTGTGGCTCAGCTCAAGTTGAGAGCCTCAAGCATCGGAGGGGGAGACGCTAGTTCCACCTTCTGAGCCCATCTTTGAGCTTAAATCTAAAGCCGCTCTCTCCCTGCAGCTCCAGTTTCCAGCACGGCCGCGGCCACGGAGTATCTCAAAGAATCAGGTGTGTCAGGGGAACAGAGGAAAATGCCGCCTCTTCTAGCATTTGCTTCATACTCACTTTCAAAGCCGGAGCGGCGCTCTCCCACCTCCAGAGATTGTGAGGCTGAGGAGACGCCTATGATCCTGCCTATTTATTACCCCCCCGGTTCCTGCTGGGTCCAGGTGCAGGAGCAGAGTCCCAGGTGGCTCCGGTTAACAGCATCCGTCTTACCCACGTGTTGGGGCCTTCTGTGGGCAGTCAGGAGGGTTTCGCTTCCCCAGAGAAACAGACCCCATAGAGGGTAAGGTCCTGTGCTCTGTAGTCAGCTACTGAGTTCTGCTCTCAGCTCTGCTGCTCACTAGCTGGCCGACCTTGAGAAAATGCCTTAAACTCTCTGTCCGTTTCTCTACCTGTAGAAAGGGCTGTTATGATGGGACTGTTGGGGAAAAGAAAAGAAAGAGAAAGTTCCCGAAAAGGACTTGGCATCAAGCCTGGCAAAGATAAATCTAAATGATTTTTATTCTTATCCTTTTATCCTACGAAGCCTTTCTCTCTCAGCCCCATTCCAAAGCTCTACCTGCCCCTTCGTCAGCTCAGTTACCTGCCATGGACCACCTGGGTTGTAACGGTGGTGATATCTTCTCTCAGCCCACAGGAGCTGGGCTTCCTGCTGGAGTGGAGACTGGGCAGCCCAGTGATGCAGAGATGAAATGGGGCCTCAGGGACCCAAGGATTTAAATGTATGTCCCAAGCCAAAGCAAACAAAACCAAAAAAGTCCCTCCAAACCCAGGAAATGGTCTCCGTTAGCATGCAGAGACCGCTGTCCTGTGAGAGACTCTGCAAGTGTCCTCAGCAGTGATGAACTTCACAGGAGCACCCCCCTCAGCTAAGGAGAGGCTGGAAACTTGGCCAGGACACTTAGGAGAGTCTCAAAGATGATGGAAAAGGAGCCCATTTTTTTTTTTTTTGCTTGTTTCTTGTAACAATTTCCGTCTCCAAAGAGAAGAAACCAAAGTCACTGGCGTTTTCTTGATACACAGAAAATTGAAGCAGGAAAATACACAGGAAATTGAAGCACAATAAAAGCATTTTGTAATTGAAGAAAGCACGCTGTTCAGCTACGTAAGTGATGTGCAGACATGAATTAATCATCGTGCTGGAAAATTACATTCGCCGCACCTGGGTCATCCCAGCCACTGAGTTCTGAGCACCATGAAGGACCCAGGCACCGGGCTGGAGCCTTCAGTATATGGTCTGGCTTACTCCTCACAATGACCCCCCGAGTGAACGCCCTCCCCCATTTTACTTGTGGGGAAACTGAGGCTCAGCTGGGGAGTGGCAGAGCTGGGATCTGAACTCAAGTAGCCATGACTCCATACCTGGTGCATGAGGATCAGGTGAGGGGAAGACCTCTAGGACTGAAAGGGTAGATGCTGTCTGGGTCTCAAGTCAAGTCTTTTTAAAAAAACAAAAAAAGTCAAATTCCATAATCAGATTGTATGTTGGGAGACATGTGTGGGCTTTATCTGAGAAGAGAAATGATTACAGCCCAGCCTCCCATATTCCTGCCTTAAACAGAGTCAGAAGCCTCCTTTTTTAGGGTCTGGTACCAAGCAACCCGGGTCTCTCCCCGCAGCGTCCAGGGGAAGAGCAGGTGTGAGTGTCTTGTTCAAGGCATCACAAATATTCAGGAGGCCCTAAGGCTTGACGAGGTAAGAGAGTTTGGATTTAACATTAATCGTCAGATGGCTGTGGCCATGGTGGGGACAGGAATCCAGCAATGAAGTGCAGCTCTAATTACTGAAATGGAAAAGCAGGTCCTCTGGTAAACATCCTTCACACAGAGAGATGGAGGACGAGGGGGAGTGTGCCGGCGGTTGCTGGGACAAGGCTGTAGGAAACGAGCTGAAATGATAGCCAGCGCAGGTGCCAGGGGAGGGAGGACGGGAGGGATTGCAGAGCTGCTTCTCGGGCCAGGCTGACACCTGTGCTCCCAGAAAGGCAGTTTGCGGCCCTTGAGGAAAACTCATTTTTGCCTTATTGTGATCGAGTCTTCCAGAGAGATCTGCTTTCTGACAGATGGCTGATAAACCAAAGCTGGCCGCGGATGAAGCCGTGTGAACCTGCTGGTCACTAGCGATTTTGTTCTTAAACAAAACAGGACACTTACGTTGCCAACAGCAGAGCTAGAGTGGCGTCTGGAGGGTTCTGAGGGAGGCGGGGGAGGGCAGAGCAGCGAAGGAGCACCCCAACCTCTGATTTGGGACCACAGCACAAGGCCGGCAGCAGTAATGCTCTGCTCCCTACACCCCAGGTCGCCCATGGTGCTGAAGCCCACAGACTTCCAGAACAGACTCAGAAAGCAAAGAGCTAGTGCTAGGAATTTTCCTGAACCCGAGGTCAAGGCCAGCGGAGGGGACATTGGTAATTGGAGTTCTTAGTGGATCTTATGACTCCTTCCTCTCGCCCCAAAGACCCCCAAACCATCCTTGTCTCAACTTGTAATTGGTCTGTAGCTAAGGTAGGTAAAACGGGGCTGCTGTTATCTCAACCTCTTCCTTCCCTCTATATCCATCATCCCATTACCAAAGTGATTGATTTAACTTTCTAAACACCTGTTGAATTCCAATGCTTTAATCCCAGTTTCTCTCCCTCCGATCTGGGCCTTGCCCATCTCTTGCCTCCATTACTGCCAACAACCCCTTAACGGAGTCCGTTGCCCCTTTCTGAAGCTTTATCCAAGCAGCAGCCAGAACGATCTAATATCTGAGGATTTTATTATAAAAAATTTTAAACATAAAGAGAGTTGAGAGAATTTTTCAACAAACTCCCATATAGCCACCACTTAGATTTTGCCATTACCCTTTTACTCTATTTTCTTTCTTTTTTTAATGAATTTTTAATATCAGTGTGTATTAGGGTTCTCCAGAAAACAGAATCAATAGAATGTATGTGTGTGTGTATATGTATATATTTTATATATATATATATATATATATATATATATAGAGAGAGAGAGAGAGAGAGAGAGAGAGAGAGAGAGAGAGGGAGAGAGAGAGATTTTGAGGAATTGCCTCGTGCAGTTACTGAGGCCAAGAAGTCCCATGATCTGCTATCTACAAGCTGCAGACCCAGGAAAGCAGGTGGTATAATTTAGCCTGAAAACCAGGGGAATCAATGGAGTACATCTCAGTCTGAGGTCAGGAAGAGATGTCCCAGTTCAATCAGTAAGGCAGAAAAAAGGAGCACATTCCTCCTTCCTCCATTTTTTGTTCTGTTTAGGCCCTCAATAGACTGGATGATGCCCACTCCCATTGGGGAGAGCAATCTACTTTACTGAGTCCACAAATTCTAATGCTAATCTCATCCAGAAACACACTTGCAGACACACCCAGAATTAACATTTAATCTGGGTAGCCTGTGGCCCATCTGAGTTGATACATAAAATTAACTATCACACAGTGTCATCATCAAATGGATTGACTTTTTTTTTTTTTTTTTTTGCGGTACGCGGGCCTCTCACTGTTGTGGCCTCTCCAGTCGCGGAGCACAGGCTCCAGACGCGCAGGCTCAGCGGCCATGGCTCACGGGCCCAGCCGCTCCGCAGCATGTGGGATCCTCCCGGACTGGGGCACGAACCCGTGTCCCCTGCATCGGCAGGCGGACTCACAACCACTGCGCCACCAGGGAAGCCCTGGAGTGACTTTTTGAGTCACCTACAACATTTTTTTTTCGAGAATATTATCTTTTATCTAATTTATTTGGGATACAGTAGTTTCTGAATCTGTGTGTGATGCAGTCATTGGAACTTTATCTCAAGACACAAATGTCATTTACACAAAACCAGACAGTTGGTTTTTAAAACTTTGTTCTGTAGGTATATATCATGGGTTAAATTGTGTCCCCCCAAAAGATGTAGAAGTACACCAAAATGGCAGACCAAGGGATTGAGATTTTAATCATAAAAGACTCAGATCTATGACTTGGAACTCAGAAATATTTCCAATTCGGTGTCTATTCTCCAAACGGAGGCAGGACTGTTACCAAAAGCTCAGCCTCTCTGTACACCAGTGCCAAATCAAATCCCGGAGACAGAGTTTTGGGTGAAGTAGAAAAGGACAGCTTTATTGCTTTGCCAGGCAAAGGG